ACTTCTGAATGCTTACTGTTTCCGGCTTTTGGAACAGCCAATTACAGGCCCACCCACACAGCACCTCGTGTGACGACTGGCAAGCAGACATCACTAAAGACGCCGTCCGCTGGCTTGTGGTTGTGCGGTCGTCCGACAGTCAATTTCCAACTGTCTATTCTCCATTCCTTCTGTACACAATATACTGTTCCTACCACTCTGGCCTTTCCACGATTTTCCTTCTCCTAAGGAACCATGCCTGAAGATCGCAAATGCTACGGTTTAACTTACTTAACCCCCTGAGATAACGGTGACTTCCCGACGCTTCCCTGCGACAAACTCTTCAGTACAGTTCTCTGACCCACGGAGACTACCCCATTCTGAGCCACAACCACTGGCCTGTGTGCAAACTTTCCGAAGCATTACTGGGATTTCTAAAAGCTGTCCACTAATAATAGGCGAGGCACTGTCTGCGTTTGGCATTTGAGTGACGGATAATCGAGGGTATGTTCACGGCTCAACTCGTAGCTTAAGCAAATTCTACCCAGTAAAAGGAAACGCCCATTTACTGAGCACCTATTCTGCCGAGCAACTCAGCCTATCGACCGTACTTCTGGTGAACGCCTTTATGAGCTAGGTCTGTTCAGACAAAGACAGTGGTCACGCACCCATGACTTCCGTCTTGATTAAAAGAGCAAACTCAGGCCAATCGAAACTTCGATCGCCAGCATAAATTTCTACAGCCACTCTAACAAACGCTAAAATCGTGGACACGATTTGTTAGGGAGGCATGCCTAATTACTGACTTACCTTAACACCAGAAAAGATACTATTTCCCCGTTGGTATTCTCCAATGTAGAGGAAACCTCTATCGTTAGAATTTACTTACTGATGTTAGTCTGTTTTAGAACTCAGCTCAAAAACATATCTTTGCGTGGATAATTGAAGTAGGTTGCATTCTGAGATGGTATAATTAAAAGAAAAGTTTCCGGAAAATTGAGTTGTACTCGTGAAGTTTCAGGTCGGTGACGCCGGCCCGTCGTCAATCGAAAAGAAAAGTGGGGGAGTGAGATTTTTGCACCACGGCGTTTGGTGGGGGAGGCAGTTAGATAGACGTCCACAGCAGGGAGGCGAATAAACCTATCACGCTTAATGTTGGGGATGAGGGAAAGTGTCGGGTTCACGTGTCGAGGGGAGGTCACATCAGTGCACTTCCACACGGCCGAGTATTGATAAGCGACTGTTGCGGTTGCGAGTCAGTGAGCCACGCACGCAGACCCCCGCAATGTGAATCTAGATCGACATGTCCGCCGTTTATGCTGGTCGCAGTTAAGTGCTAAGGTTCGAGGAATTCCCTTGTTTGTGTCGTGTTGGCCATGGCCATCACCTCGGAGCCGTCTCAACTTAAGCGCCAGTCACACTCAAGGGAGTGCGCAAATACACGTGATAAAGGGTCCCGTAGTCGAACGGCTAACTTATGTTCGTTGATGCGGGTCTCGAGACGTCAGCCTGCATAATCAACGTAAACACAAGGACAGCTATATCTATATACCAGGGTAACAATTTAAGGAAATACTAAGTGACCGGGACATTACTTTTTCGGGTTACATCGGAAATATCAATGAACATTAGACTGGAAGACAATAAACTACCGAGGAATAAACACGAACTGCAAGTAATATAAGTTCTGTAGGACAACGGCATAACGTACCCCCACATTAATTTATGACGAAAGGAAAGCATTAAGTCCACTGGAGAAAGATGTCACATCCTAATTTTGCCACCTGACAAAGGGGGTTTTGACTTTTATTTTTAAAAAGACCGACTACACAGAGATGAAATTAATGTCAGTAGACAAGTTGACTTACACGCCTTTAAATACCGACCCTACGAAGCCACAGAGGTCACAGATCGAGAAGATATCAGTAAAGATTATCATTTTTATAATATAAAGTAATCAGCAAAAAAATTTAGAATGAGAATAGTTTACATAATATAGCAAAGGTAGTTTTCAGAAATCGCGTATAAAGGGGAGCATATCGCGGTATCTCTCTCTCCCTCTTGGCTCGAAAATTAAGTTTAGATTTTTGTAAAGAAACCAAGCATAGGATAGCAAGTTTTAGGGATGTGGTAGGAGGGACGTGAGAGTGGTTTTAGCCAGGGAGAGAAGACCGTCAAGGGAACTATCTCCGCCTCCTGTGGCGGGCAGATGCTTGACCAGCCAGGACCGTCCCTTCTTCGCGAAGAGAAGCCATTCGGTGGAGCGCCGAGCTGCCTGCACTTTGAGGAAGGCCAACACCAGCGCCGTGGCCCAGATGGTACGGCCATCTTCACCACTGACTGTTGTAACAAGACAGGGTCTGCATTAATAAGTGCACAAAGATACGATAGGCGCAGAAAGGCAGTAAGCCACGGCAAAATATTTTCTTTTCCCGACGTCATTAAAAGGTCAGCAGATTTCCTACTCTGTCGAACACCTTTCGATAGTCTGAATTTACCAAGTACGGCAGGGCCTGGCATTCAGGGCTTCCTAATTGTTGAAACGAATTCCCGCAGCTCTCTGTGCTAGCAGAAAGGGGTCACAGGTTTCTTCTAAAACTTTCAATGTATATGCATCATGTTCTTGACTTTATAGGAAAAATTATAAAATTAACCGGTATGATGTACTAATGCACATTTCACGGTTCTAAAAACTCTCGTATTAAAACCAGGAAATTCTCTTGCTTTAAACCATTAACGCTGAAGGAGGCGTAACTTTCTAAGAAACAGGTAAAAGAAACATAAAATTTTGGCATGTTTTCTATAAAATATATTTTAAATTATAAGGGTATTCAAAACCACTTAGATAGACAAATGTTCGGAGCATACATTTTCCAGACAGTAAGAGAAAAATTCGTTCAAAAGCCAGCCTCTTGGCGTGACTTAAATAAGGCTGCCTACTAATCAATCGCGCAAAACAACTCAAGTAAGTTGGTAAATTTAAAATCGCATTTTTACACCTTCGGTTCTCTGTTTTTAAAGGTGCTACTACCAACATTGATCAGACTGGCCGAACCTGCCGACCTCGCACTAGTCGACCCTTGAAACTCGTTGATGCACTTTCACCGACAGCTAACAGAATTCACTTGTCGCGCACCACCTTTGCCTTCGGCCTCATTACTCATTACGGCAGTTGTAACAGCTAGTAGTATCAGTCGATATTATACCAGTAAACATAAAGGACACCGGAATGGCCATTTCTGGCTTATTAGCTGTCGGTAGTCAGTCCTATCCAGAACCAATTAGTGCACCACACCAAATGTCAAACTGGCGACCTTCTGAGCAGAGTCTAACGTCATAAATTATTGAGCCACGCGCTCCTTGTCTTGCCGGTTTAGGTCAGAAGATATTGACACTGCTTGATGAATGTTTACCGACCGCTACTGCAACTCACTTCTTCCGTTTCGTCATTGCCTTGGGCCTCATTTCTCAGTCTTTGACAACCGACGTATCAGATAGTATTACAGGCAGGCACTGTACAGAGAGATCGCGAGTTCGAGGCTTGGACGGGACACCACTTGGATCTGGATACGACTGGCTGACGATGGTTAATAAGCCAGAGAAAACCATTCCAGCCTCCCTTGCATTTGCCGGCATTGCTATCTGCATATACTACTAGCTGGTACAGTGGCTGTGAGGGCCCGAGAAATGAGACCTAAAGCAGGATAAAGTGGGGCAAGTCGGTCTGTGAACGTTTGCCAACGAGGGTAACTATCTATCGACCTAACCAGCAAGGCAACAAGCTCGTGGCTCAATGATTATGACGTTACACTGACCAAAAATATCGAGAGTTCAAGCCTCGGGTGGTGTCTCAATTGCAGTTGTCCATGACTGGTTGACGACAACTAATAAGTCAGAAGTGGCCATTCAGTCTCCCTTGTCTTTGATGGCGTTACTATCTGTCTTTCCAAATGTTTGTTTCTGAGTTGTTTCATGACAGCGAAAATGTTTGATTATTGTAGTGCAGCAGTAAATGAATTTGACTCTCGTCATGTTTGTGATAGACAAGTAGCGGTTAACGAATCTGTAGAGAACTTAGAGAATAAGAGCATATGCAATGCCTGCTTTGTAGAAGTGCTGACGCGTGAATGGAAAATATGAGCTGAAGGCGATATGTTAGCAATGACGTGTCATAATGTCATCCCAGACGGCGAAGGGCCCTAAGTGACATCATGGCCCTTGTAATGCCACGATCATAATATTCTTAGGTGGTTAATCGTA